TCCTCCCTTGTGTTTATCCATATGTTGTAGTTATCCTAATCATTATAGGATTAGGATAATCATCCCCTTTATTGTTGTAATCCTTATCTCCTAAGGAATATGCTTTATTCTCTTTGTATGTATATATATGTATGTGCACGTGATGAATAAGATATACAGAGTTACAACAAACCTTCTTCTTTATTCCACAACAAAATTTATATAGTTTCATAGTAATCTGAAATAGCTATTGGGTGAATTTAGTTGTATATACTATCCATAACTTTTTATATATTTGATCCTTTTATTTTATACATATTGTATATACAATGCTTTTCATTGTTATTATATAATTTCTTTCTGATGGACCAGATCATTTTTTATTAAAGTTTGTGAAACTAAACTATAATTAATATATTATAAGTTGATTGGATTGAACATTAAACAAATTATGACACAAAAACCTTATTTTTTCCACTGAACACATTAGCTATGTTCGTTTCTTTAACGCTGCGTCAGCGTGGAGGACAAAAAAATAACAGACGAAGTGGAGAAATTTAATCGCCGCGTCTTTATAAAGCTGCCACCGGCGACTCTCGCAACTGATTTCGGCCAAGTTTTCATTGACGCTGTAAATATTAGCGGTTGGACGCTGACTCTGCGTCTTAAATATTGTTATCTTTTAACTCTCTGACCTTACTTCTTGTTAACTCTCTGATCTAACTTCTTGTTAAATCCTTTTGTATTTTATTGCCGCCGGATGTTGAGGCTGCGTCTCGAAAACGAACAGGGATATTCTTGAAAATAAGTGAACAGTATTGTTTCCATAGTTAAATTATTTTGACTTTTATCTTTCATATGGTTTTGAAAGATTTCAGATCAACCATCGAATTGCTACATGTCTTTTTAATGATTTTAGTCGTATGGTTAAGGAAAACTAACATTTTGTAATTTAAAACTGTTTTAAAAAATCAAAATATAACATATAAGAAATCTAACATATAAGAAAAAATATAAGTTATAAGATTTCTTCATATCCTCAATTAATATATAGAGGATATTGAAATCCAAGGTATAGACTGAACAAATTCTGCCCACTTGAAAATCTTGTAGTAGCTTGTTTCCGACTTTACTTCCGGCGTTTCTTCATGAACTGTGTCTTTCAACCATTTGATAAGAGTGAATCTTCAATTTTCTAAATATTTTTTTCTTTGAAATAACATATTACAGTTGGAATTCTCTTAGATTACCAATCAACCTAATAGTAACTTATTTTTATATTTTTATACGTTTACAGCAAATGCCAATTGTAATATTGTAGTTGTGGATAGACACGGTGAGGAATGAGTGGCCGTGTGTAAGCTCAGAAATGGTACCCATATTGGTTGTAATAGCTTCCTCTATCTATCTCTTAGTATGAGGTATATGTTGATATCGAAACGACGAGGAAGGTCCACAATTTCTTTTATCAAATTTCATTTGTCCCACTATCGAAACACATGTACCTTAGATAAAAGGCTTATTTTTTTATCGTAAAAGGCGCCAATGTACCTTCTTCATATATGCTTTAACTACTCTACTTCTATATGGTTCTGATAGGAAGTGAGTGAAGGGCAAGTTTGAAGAGAAGGAATCATCTAGTAGTAAATAGAGTGGTGGACATCAACACATGGGGTGTTGGGTCTATCGTTGGTAATACGGTACGGTATTCGTGTGTGCATTACCATTTAGGAAGAAGACAAAAGACACGTGGGATGTCGATTGTCATAGGTGACGCCTTTGTGCTGAGCCTTAGTAGTTTAAATGTTTTGTAGGAGAGTATGAGGATGTCATCATGTTGGATGATCATTGTTAGTAAGAGAAGAGAGTCTCTCTAGAGTGGGATTCGTAACAGTGTTATTCAACTTAAAGCATCTTTTATATCTTTCTTTCGGATCCATAAAGTTATATTATTCAAACCATAATATTTTCTCTATACATAATGCTGGTTTATGATCCTTCTTCAATCGAAGAGACTTCTCTCATGCTTCATAGAAGTCCATGTCATCTAAATAAAGACGTCACCGCAGAAGACTTCTTGAATATCAAAATCATTTGAAGACTTTCTTTGAGTTTGATCCCTCCCTCGTATGAGTAACTGACTTGCCCTCATTGCTGTTGAGTACGATATGGATAGCTCTCATCTTTCACCACATGCCATTCGACAGGGAAAAGCCGCATCACTTATCAAGTTGCCAGAAGTCTAGATCCTTGTCCATGTCCACGTATCCAACCATGTCTGCTAGTCCCACAAACTGTCCTGACGCATTCACCTAAACCAAAAAAGAAGAAGCAATCATTGTACACTACTAAACCATATAAGGAAAGGAGACAAGACACATTTTTTAAGACACACACCTCTCATTCCTAACTCATAGGATACTATTCATCTCTTGAAAGGTATTTAGGTTTTTCTTGCAGATTTCTCGTCAAACAGCTCTGATACCAATTATTGGGATTGTGATAGTCCATGTCCAACTCTATATTATCCGATTAGTACGATATTGTTCACATTGGGCCTTAGAGGTTGGCCCGCATGAATTTACTTTTGATTTATTTCCAAAATGCCTCGTACTAATTAGAGTTGGACTTCTCTTTATATATTAAACTCTTCTCCTCTAATTCTCCAATGTGGGACTTAGTTTGTTATCTCACAACAACTACACTGATCTGGAAGCTAACCTTGATGAGAGTTTAGATTTGCTTTATCTTCACGTCAAATAAGCTAATGTGCAATAGAATGATGTTTTGACTAGTTAAAACTAATTTTATGCATTCTGTTCTTCCTTATTAACTCATCATTGTGTTGGAAGAACATAAGTTATATGCGATTCTGTGAAACAGTATAGTTTGGAATCGCATGTGTTGGAAACCAGAATAGTGGTATAGTTTGTTTATGCAGGGGAACAGAGGTCTTGGACTATCTGCCCATGTTATTGATCACTGCAACTTGATCCTCAAGTTCCCTCAGGGCACTAACAACACTTGGGTATGTTAACACTTGTCTGGTTTCTTTTTGAGATATTAATTTGTTTTTTCAAGTGATCAAGGTTTCACACTCGTTTCCTATCTTTCAATGATGACAGTACAATAAACAGTTCAAGATTTTTGAGCCACTGGATTTCAAGTATAATGTTTGTGAGGCACTTCTCCTATGGGAGCAGGTTCGTACTCTTCTCAGGTTAGATTTTCTTGTTTGAGAATAAGAACTTGTTAGGATTCTAATGTTTCTGAGTAATGCAGTACCGTTGACAAGAGAATACCTTGATGTACACGTAATGGATGGTTGGACTATGCAGCTTTGAGAATTGCACAGCTGTATGATTACAAACGCCATGTGTAATTATTTGCATGAGTCATTTGGTTATTGAACTTTTGTTGATTTTCGGGTATCAGGGGAGTTGATAAGTGTTATAATCGTACATTGTGTGAGGAGCATCTTAATGTGATCCTTCCAGCAAAGCCTCCTTTCCACCCACGACAGTTTCATAAATGTGATGTCGTTGGAAATTCTGGAGATCTGTTAAAAACAGAGTTCGGAAAAGAGATTGATAGTCATGTTGCTGTGTTCCGAGATAATGAAGCTCCTGTCAATAAAGTAATATGTCTAGCACTCTTATTTGTGATTTCACTGAGTTTACCGTTATAGCGTTTTTGGAATTGGCGTTGCTTATATTCATTCACGTTGTTTTATTTGCAGAATTATGGCAAATACGTAGGAGTGAAAAGGGATTTCTGACTAGTTGTTCGTGGTGCGGCTCATAACATGGTTAAGATTCTCAGTGGGTCTGGTCAGTACTCATATTAGACAGAGATATTTCATCTTGTGATTCGTTTTTCTTCGAGAACTCATTGTAGCTTTGCCCTTGTGAAGTGAAGTAACCTTCTGTAACTGTCATTTATTGCAGACAGTGAAGTTCTTATAATCAAAAGTGTGACTCACCGAGACTTCAACGAAATGATAAAAGTATCCACAATCCAATTTCCACTGTAACAAAGATACAAAAAAGTGTGTTCTGAACCCTTAGCCTCTTTTTACATGAGTGCATGAATTCTTACATGATTTTGTTAGATGCTAATGTACATTCTTCTTCATATGTGCTTTAACTACTCTACTTCTATATGGATTCTTTAACCATGGATAGTTCTGATATGTTTAATTGATCAAACAAACAGCAGTTTCTCTATACATAAATGCACCTTCTTTCTAATAATTATATCTTGAATGATTGATTTATTTATGAGATTGTGAAAATGAGATTTGTAAGCTCTCAAAAGACATCTGAAGAAGAAGTAACAATAGAACGCCCTAACAAAGGAAAACATAACAAGGATGCAAAACAAAAGACCATCATGATTCATGAATTAAGTAAAAAACCAATTCACTAATAAATAGAAGATGAACTAAGAATGTTTCTCATCTCGGATTGTGAGTGTTACTCTTGGAAACAGAGTAGCCTCAAGAGATTCTTAGTTAGATTGACAAGTGATTGCTGTTTTATGCTACTGATACTTCTGCTCCAGTTGTATCATCTATCTTGATTCAAGCGAAGAGACTTCTCTCGTGCTTCATAGAAGTCCATGTCATCTAATAGAGATGTCACTGCAGGAAACTTCTTGAATATCGAAAGCATTTGTCAGACTTTCTTTGAGTTTGATCCCTTGTATGAGTAACTGACTTGTCCTCATTGTTGTCGACTACGATATGGATAGCTCCCGTCTTTCACCAAATGCCATTGGATAGGGAAAATCCGCATCACTTATCAACTTGCCAGAATTCTAGATCCTTGTCCATGTCCACGTACCCAACCATCTCTGCTAGTCCCACAAAACTAAAAAGAAGCAATCATGGTACACTACTATACCAGATAAGAAAGGAGACAAGAAACATCTTTAAGATGAAAATGGTGACGTGTCTTGCCGTCAACGAGTAGTGTTTTTGCTTCACCCACTATCACCGTAAGCTGCATCGAGTTTCTTGTTTCCATTGACAGAGCTTGACCACACAGAGTATTTGATACTCTTGCAAACACATCCCTCGATTGCTTATGAAAAATTTGGCTAACCTCGTAGTCTGTCTGAAAATCTGGGAGGTTAAACATCTTCCTTTTACGTGTCACAGTCTGCAACCTAACTGAAAAGACAGAATAAAAAAGAGTAAAGACTAACCGGGTTATCTGCAACACTTTTGGAACCTTTGAGAGATCATCCTGCCACGGACTTGAAACGTACCGACAAAGCATGCTGCTCCACGATTGACGGATAAGGTGGCCATTGCATGCTTGTGCTACGCTACGGGATGCCTCCTTTTTTCACTTCCAACTCGGTAACTCCAGCGGAGGTGGTAATGTTTGTAGATTTTGCAGCAGGGACTGGATTTTCAAAAGACAAGTCATGTGGTCCTGAAGTGGGTTTCTGACCCAAGCAGGCACTGGAGTCTGGACGATCTTGTTTGTGTGAGACATCTTTTTAATCCAAGTAGAGGTGTTGGGGCATCTTGACCATGCAAAATATTGAACTTGTAATGGTGGGGTCCAACGGTCACCCTTAGAGTTCTTTTACTGCAATCTCAAGTCTGTATAGATATCGCTGCTGTCTTAACTTGACGCAATCGACAATGGCCTTATCGCATATCATTTATACCACCTTACACATCAATGTGGAAAGAGATAGCATTCATTGATAAAAAATATTTGTGACCAAAAGGTTTCTCTATGGCGTGGGTGTCTTATTATTAATGTCTTCTCAAAATTGCAAACATACAATGACAAAATTTGATGAATGCATAACAAAATCAACTTTTCTGTAAATAATTCAAACATAAGTACTGAAACTAATTTGGTTGCATTTTTAATAACAGTACACTTATAAAAGCAAATTTTAGACAAATCCACATAACACACAAAAAAGCAGAAAATGACATCAACGGGAGTGCGAAGAGCGGAATCCACATTTGTTGTATGTATGGAGCCGCAAACGCCAGGTTTGGTAAACACCTAAACGGCGCTTAAGCATTGCATATCTCTTCTTCTTCTTCTTCTTCTTCTTCTCAGAGAGTCTCCAATGCTTACCTTGGAGACTCAATGATCTCGAAGACTCGTTGAAGACGCGTCTAATGATGACTTTGCGATCACAAGGCTTACCAAACTGAGCTTTGGCCAAGTCTTTATAAGCAATGTAAATAATAACATTTGTGGAGTCGAGTCTCGGCCGCTCCATATCAGTGAGAGATTCAATGGCCACTTCCACAATATCGAATTTGGAGAGTTGGTGCTATAAAAACAGTAGAGTTACATAATCAACAAGCAAACACATACAAAATAAAATAAAATAAACTTACCTCAGTCATATCCCTATTATAAGTACAATGTGCAAGATTCAAATAGAGACGAATCCAATCAGTGTTTTGCAGTTCAGATGCATTCATCTGCAAAGGCAAACAGAAAAACATATGAGTAGGGAAGAGCAAAATTGTGTAAAAATACTTTTAATTCAACAATCTTACCAAGTAAAAACGTTGGGAATCAGTAATTTCTGATGGCCACTGAGGCAGAGGCAATCTACCTTCGTAGATTGCCTGGCAAAGCGGAGGCGGCTCCTTGTTTGAACCTAGAGGTCTAGCTATATCACAAGAGAGATCTAAAACCCCAAGATCTTCTTCACAAACTAAAGTTTGAAAGATTTGGTGTACATTAGAAGTTGGATCGCATGCAACCAAGGTAATGTAGTAAGGTGCAGCACCACCATTAGCTCTCAAATTGAAACTTTTTAAGCTAAAGAACTTCCACGCCGTCCCCTGAAAGATGATGATCGAATGTACCACATAAGAAATTGAGAATGTAAAATAAGGATTCAAAACACGTTTTTACCTCCAACAAATTGTACCGATGAAGCCCGAACTGAGCATAACTCTTAACCAAAACGTCATCAGGATACCGAGCATATTCGCGCTCACAGTCATAGTGTATCATTCCACGAGATGATAACGGACGAGCAACTGGCAAATCAAAACCCTAATTTAAGGAAATTCTTTTATCAATTTAGCCTTCCAAAAAACAAGCAGATCGATTCAACACATCTAAAACTTACAGCCATGTCCTGATGTGGGTTACTCTCGCCTACACGCGAAGCGTTATTCATCGATTTACTTTTTTTGTTTTGTCTTGTTTTCTTCTTTTGGTGGTAAGGTAATAGGTTTGCATAATTCATTCCTGGGTATCAGTTGGGCCGACAAGGATTTCTTTTTTTATTGATTTAATTAGGTTTTTATCAAGTTTGTGATTCACTCATGGGCTTACGTTGGGCGTACCAGCCTAAACCAAAATTTCTTAACCAAAAAAAACCTAAGCTTCAAACCGGAGAACAGAACACATCCCCTATCCAGTAAAACCTCTATAAATTAATAATGTTCGGACTTTGAAATTTTATTAATTTATAGAGATATTAATTTACAAAAGTTTCCTTATTTAGATTTTTTTTTCTATTTTCTCTAATTTTATTTTTAAAATAAAAATATTTGATTTTTAGCATATGTATATTATTTAAATTTTAGAAATTTGACTTTTATAATGTTTTATTATCTTATTTTGTGTATATTTTAATGTTTTGTAGAATTGTTACATGGTTTTCGATATAATTTAACTAAATACTATCAAAATATATTGAAATGTTTAAAAAAAAATAAAAGTATTTTATAGTAAAATATAAAACCCCTAACTAAATATAATAAATATATTAAAATATTTAGAAAAATAAAAGTATTTTTATAGTAAATATAAAACCAGCAATATAATGTTAGATTGTACCTATATAAAATTATATACAGCTAGATTATTAATTTATGATTTTAATGGGACCATATATTTACATGGCAGTTTCAAAAATATTATTATCTTATTATTTTATCGATTTGTGTCATATTTTACACCGGCCCAAGTTAGGACCGGTGAAATTTATTAACTTATAGAGATTATTCATTTATCGAGTATTAATTTATAGATGTTCTACTGTATATTATTTGTGAAGTGATTTTGCCACATGTACTCTCTAGAATCAGTTTCACAAAAAATAGTGACATGTCTACTAGAATTGATGACATTGCATATGATTAAATATGACATGGACAATTGCATTCAATTTTAATATATATTTTGGAAAAAATTTATAGAATATGGTAACAACTCATATATTACATTTAATGTCGATTTATATTTTTGGAAATATTTTTAAAATATGGCAATAACTAATAAATCATCATTAAATAAATATATACCAATATGGCATTAAAAATTTTGAAAATATCATTTAATTATATATTTTAAAACTATACAATTTTAGTACAAAAATTTCAAAAATGTATACATTTTTTGAAAATTATGAAAATTTAATCCTAAAATTATTAATTTCTTATATATTCAAAAATTTAATAAATATTGTCTAATTTTAATTTTTGAGAATTATAAAATTTTCTACAAATTTATTTAATATATTTAATTAAAATAAATAGATAAAAAATTATCTAAGATTATAAATTTAAATATATACATGCATATTCTTAAATATAATTTAAAATAAACAAAAATATTTTTCTATTACTTTTTATGTTTGATTAAACAAAAATCTGTATTAATATAGTGATAAGAAAAATAACTCATAAATTATCATTAAGATAATAAATAATATAATAGTAGAAATATCTCCTATATATTATTTGTGAAGTGATTTTGCCACATGTCCTCTCTAGAATCAGTTTCACAAAAAAATAGTGACATGTCTACTAGAATTGATGACATTGCATATGATTAAATACTAGGTGATTTTCCCGTGCTCATGCACGGACATAAATATTTATAAAATAAATCTATTATAATAGTTGATTGATATTTACTTTAACTTTTATATTAGTTTATAGTTTTTATGTATAATTTATATTAATAATATTATATTATTTTAGTTATATATAATTTTAGATATATTATATTTAGTCAGTTTTATCATTTGGATATATATATATATATATATATATATTGGATTCTATCTATTTCTCTGAATTCATCTATAATCTTTTTTATTCTAAATATCTTAAATTTTTGATTAATTGTTTTATATACATATATGTTGGTTGTTATCTTAGAAATATAAGTATATCTTAGTAAGATTATGTATTTTAAGTTTTTTTGTGCTTAGAATGAAAAAATAAAAACTAAAGTGTCTGATTCTAAATTACATATATAAGTAATAATAAATTTTTGGAAGCTTATGAACACATATCAATATTTTCAATAATTAAATATTTTATAAATTTTAAATAATTTATGCCTTAGATTGATTGGATGATAAACTATAAATATACTAAGTATAATTTTTTTTTGTCAATTTAACATATATCAGTTTATGTTACTTAATTATTTATGTAATCATCTAATAAAATAGATAGATATATACAAAAACTAATTACTTTTCAAATATATATTTTATTGTTGAAATTATTTTTTTAAAGAAAAATATTTCTTTTTCTAATGTCAAGATTATTTGTATGAAATTTGTATATGAAAACACATTATATACAATTTTTTCATCTAAAAGATATAGATATAAAGTATAATTACTTAAAAAGTATAATTTATGCTATTTAAAAATATATTTAAGTTAAATATTACTATTTTGTAAAATTTCCTTTTTTATGAAACCATATTATATATATACTTATTTTTTCGTTTTTAAATATTTTTGTAACTTTTATAAATATTTCCTTTTTGTTTTATATTGTTATTTGGAAGATTTTAAAAAGGAAATAATAATATTATTTTTTAAAGAAAAAATATTTCTTTTTCTAATATCAAGATTATTTGTATGAAATTTTTATATGAAAACACATTATACAATTTTTTTTTCATCTAAGAAGGTATAGATATAAAGTATAATTACTTAAAAAGTATAATTTATGCTATTTAAAAATATATTTAAGTTAAATATTACTATTTTGTAAACTTTCTTTTTTTATGAAACCATATTACATATACTTATTTTTTCGTTTTAAATAGTTTTGTAAATTTTATAAATATTTCCTTTTTGTTTTATATTGTTATTTGGAAGATTTTAAAAAGGAAATAATAATATTTAAATATATTTTTAGTTCATTAGGGGTATCATAGTAATCAACCACCGTGAAAGTTAACGTAAGCGCGACACCTAAGAAAGTGACTTCTCAAATAATATTATAGAGATGACATGGACAATTGCATTCAATTTTAATATATATTTTGGGAAAACTTTATAGAATATGGTAACAACTCATATATTACATTTAATGTCGATTTATATTTTTGGAAATATTTTTAAAATATGGCAATAACTAATAAATCATCATTAAAATAAATATATACCAATATGGCATTAAAAATTTCGAAAATATCATTTAGTTATATATTTTAAAACTATACAATTTTATTACAAAAATTTCAAAAATGTATACATTTTTTGAAAATTATGAAAATTTAATCCTAAAATTATTAATTTCTTATATATTCAAAAATTTAATAAATATTGTCTAATTTTAATTTTTGATAATTATAAAATTTTCTACAAATTTATTTAATATATTTAATTAAAATAAATAGATAATAAATTATCTAAGATTATAAATTTAAATATATACATGCATATTCTTAAATATAATTTAAAATAAACAAAAATATTTTTATATTACTTTTTATGTTTGATTAAACAAAAATTTGTATTAAAATAATGATAAGAAAAATAACTCATAAATTATCATTAAGATAATAAATAATATAATAGTAGAAATATAAATATAATAATATTACAAATATTGAAATATTTTGAAGTGTATTTTTATAATTATATATTTTTTATTAATAATTTTTTTTTTCAAAATTTTATGCAGTTTTTTAAAAAATTAAAATTTTCTATCCCAATACCACTAGCTTTATTTATAACATCTATAAATTCTAGAACTATTATGTAGTTTTATATTTTGATAATTATATATCTAACAAAATTTTTTCTTAATAGTATAGAATCTGATTTAATATAATTTAACCAAAAGATAAGAGATACATATATATTATTAAATATAAATTTAAGAAATTTTTTTTAAGATAGACCTAAAAAAAAGTTTTAATCACAAATAAGACCTTAAAATAAAAATGACTAAGATAGACTTAAATGTTTTATCAAAAATAAGTAAATATACACTTATATCCTTTGGGTTAACTAATCGTAAACATTTTTGTTTAAAGTTGAGGAGTGGGGTTTTGGGGATAGAATTACAATTTTTTTTAAAAAAAGCAAACTGAAATTTTCAAAATAAAAGATGTTTTTTTGGTCATTTTAGTTTTAAGATCTATTTTTGTGAAAAAACCTTAAAAAGTTCTATTTAAGAGAACCGTCATATATTTAAATAAAACTGTTTATTTTCTCTTAATTTTTACATATAATTAATGTAAAATTAATAATGTAATAAAATAATAAATTTAAAAATTAATTAAATTTTATTTTTAAATATAAATTTATTTTTAAAACTTTTATTTCTGCACATGGTGCATGAAGCCTCCTAGTTGTTCTTACTTGAGACGGCGGAATCAAATGGTGGAGTCGAACTCAGCTAAAGAGTGACATGCAAACGCCAAGGAGACTGAGACCATGATTATCGCGGTCGCTTAAGGTGTTTTTTAAGCATATTTAGCAAGAAAACACTTATTATGTTAAGCGACGTTGTTTCATTAAGGACAAGAAGACACGGTGACACGTGTAAGGCTGAGAGTGTTTTGGGAGGAAAAACCTATGGGTGGAAAAAAAGATCAGTTTCGTTTCAGCTTTCTCTCCTCGACGACGAAGTGGAGAAAACCGTGATGAAAATCGATTGTTCTTCTCCTCGACGAAGCGATTAAAATCTCCGGGTGGTCTCCTCAACGAAGTGAAGCAACGAATCCGGTTGCGATCCTCGAGGAAGTGAAGAAAGGAAACTGGCTTCGGTCCTGGCCGACGAACCGAACACGCTACTCCATACGCTACCTTCATCATCTCCACCCTTTCACCGCCTGTATCTCCACCATTCTCAGATTCTCCCTTCTTCTTCTTCTGGGTCTCTCAAATTCCATCCCAAAACGATTTCTTTACAAGTAAACACTCCAACTTCCTCTCAAAGAATCCGACTTTAGTGGAATTCATTGGCTTATACATATGTTTTTAAGGTAGATACATGGAAGGACTTTAGCCATTCGTTCTGCAGAATTTGCTGCTAGAGGAGGCTTACCGGTTTTGAAAAAAGCTTCACTACCAAGTAAAGGATCTACCTTTCTTCTGGGACAGGGCCTTTTGATGATCTCTGCTTATCCACAGTTGGCATCAGCAGCGTCAGAAATGGTGAAGCCTGAACCGGCTTACGAAGTTGGAGAGTTGTTTGACCTAAGCATTCAGCTTTCTTACTTGCTGTTACTACTGGGTTTGCTCGGAGTTGGTACTTTCTATGTGATTTGTCAAGTACTTGTGCGTAGAGAACTTGACCTCTCTGCCAAAGAACTACAGGTATTTGATTGTGATCCAAGTCTTAATCTTTGTGGTTGGTAAGATAGATTAGAATAAGAAACTGGGATTAAAGGTAGCAGAGCACTGATGAAATAGTTTAGAGCAATGATCAAAACTTTGTTATATGTTTTTTTTTTTGTCTGAATAATCTAAAGGAACAAGTTAGGAGTGGTGATGCAAGTGCAACAGAGCTCTTTGAGTTCGGTTCAGTGATGCTGAGACGCAAGTTTTATCCTGCAGCCAACAAGTTCTTGCTTCAAGCCATCCAGAAATGGGACGGTGACGATCAGGATCTTGCTCAGGTAATACAATTTTATACACGCACAAACTGTATCCAACAAGTAAAGATGACAAGTAGAATTCACTCATCTTATTATTCGGAATTGATACAATGTTTTGTATAAGGACAACACAATGGAATATATGCTCACAAAAGATACGAAGTTTATAAATAATGAGATTATCATACACAATGGAATTGTTGCTGGACGAACACATCTGCAAGTACCTGTGAAAGAATCAGACAAGAACGTTTTGTTGTTAATAGATAAGAACCCCTAAAGTATCAAGCGAAGTTTAAACTTTTTTTTTTGAAGAACCTCTAAATAAGAGATTTCCATTGGAGCCCAAAAAAAATGGTGTCTCTTGTGACAATCTCTTAAATCATTTTATTAATTAAAAATGTTTAAGAGATCCAAAGTGAGTATATGGGTTAATCATGCTCCCTGGAGCTACATGCAAACGAAGCTTGTGAGAGACGAGGGCTCGATCAGACCTCTGAGTTGATAACAAGGAGCGAATCACACCATCCATTCAAACATCAGTTTTGAAAGCAAAAACGGATGACGAATCGAAACGGAAGGAAGTCAAAGACACCATTCAAAGGATAAGAGGTGCATGCATCTTGAAGACAAACCACCAACCGTTGATCTTGCAGATCTTAAATCCTGAAACAATATATAGACCGAAACAGATCAAGAGAAAATCTGAAAATTCATTATCACCACCAAATATCATTAGATTTTTTTTTTTTTTAATATCAATAGATCTTTTTTATTCTAAACTCCATTTTAGAATGAAAATAAAATGGAAATGTCCTAAACCATAAGAGTACCATTAACCCTAGCACTTCTAATGAGGTGCTTAATCATTTTTTTTATTAATAAATGGATATTAAGCACTCTATTTAAGAAATCTCACCATTTTTGTGCTTCAATCCTAGCACCCCCAATTGTTTCTTTACATGATAACATGTTTATTTTTGTGACACAAGATGCCAATGTTTCTTTACTATTCTTGTTACAAGTCGTGACACTAAGAAGACATGACACAAATACAAAAGACTCAATACCACATCAACACTACACATGACAACACAATAGGACAGAGAAGAATCTCTTCACGGGTTATGTTGATGTTCCATTAACTGAGAAAGGTATTGTAGAAGCTATCCAAGCAGGGAAGAGGATCATCAACATACCTGTTGATTTGATTTTCACTTCTTCTCTTATTCGTGCTCAGATGACTGCTATGCTTGCCATGACCCAATGTGACATAAGGTGTGAATAAGGAGCCAATTTTTGTCTCTCTTGCAACAATTCAGCCAAATTTTATATATAATTATTATTAATATAATTTTATATCTTAGTTTTATGTTTTATAATCTATACTATTATTTGAGAAGTAAATTTGCTTAGTTGTCAATTTCTCCATATTTTTTAGATAATTTTGCTTATTTGTCATGTTTTAATAATTTATATATAATTTCCTATATAATAAAAACGAATGTATATTTATAATATTATATTTTTAGAAAATAAGATAATTCTTACATATTATATTGTTATCTTGAAAATATATTTTTCTATTATAGAAACTAAAAATAAAATATAAAAATTATAAGAAAATATAATTTAAGCAATGCTGATTTGTTAACCTTTTCATAATTTTAAGAAATTTTGCTTATTTATTATCTTCCAATAATTTCATATATAATTTAGTACATAATAATAATGAATTTATATTAATAATATTACATTTTTTAAAAAAAAATAAGATACTTATCTATATTATTAAAATTGAAGTACATTTGAGAGTTGTTTGGAAACAAGGATAACATTTAATAAAAAGAATTTATTGTTGTTTGACAACATGGATTGCAGTATATTAAAAACAAAATGGGCTTAGTTATTAAGAAAAATTGAAAGTCTTATAATAAACTATATATTTGCACCAGCTTTATAATATATGCAAATAGATCAATTTAATTACTTAAAACATTTTTTGTTTAAAATAATCATAATACAAAATTTAAACTTTATATACATATTTCAAATCAAAAGAATAATTTAAAACTAATTTATAGAAAAATTTGATTCTAAAATATATATATATATATATATTCAAAAATTGATTTTTATTAAACTATTTTCCAGTAGCGATTATAAAAAAAGTTTTCAATATATATAAGAAAAATATAATACAAAGCCCAATTTCAAACACCAATTTATATTGTGGTTTTTATATTTTACATTAAATTTTTAAAATATAACTTATATGATTATTTATATTAAGATTGTGAATTTGACTCTTTACATATGGGCTCCGTCCTATTTAACTCACTGCAGGGCAGGTAAAAATCAACATATTTTGAAAAATATGTGAGGCGAGTGCGGGTTTAGTATATTTTATGCGAAACGGGTGTGGATCAGTCGAATTTAAACTGCAGGTACCCGCCACAAAATAGTTATTTTTAAATGAACTACACGAGCAGGTTGACAAGAGAACTACACCCGTGCGGGCGCATGAGTCAAAATCTAGTTATGTATTAAATTGTTATCTTTTTTAACCCATATTAGATTTTTATCTTGCAAATATATTTTGTATTATATGTCATATTTTTAATAATTTCATATATAATTTATTATAAAAAAAAAAAAATTCCATTAATAATATTATCTTGAAAAAAAGATATAAGAAATTCTAATTAATATAAATCAAGCAAAACATTTGAATAAATATATTTTAAAATATTCTGCTATGTAAAAGTTGTCATTTATAATTAATTTTAAAAATATAAATCATAACTTATTGTGTTGTTTTAAATTAATAAAGCATAAACTAATAAATATTCATAAGAAAATTATGCCCGCATGTGCAGGCAAAGCACCTAATAGGAAAATATATTTTCAGCATAACAACATAATACATAAAAATTATCTTATTTTAGAAAATATAAAATTATTAATATAAGTTCATTTTAGTTATATAATAAATATCATTATTTTTATATCTTAATTTAAAATTTAATTTTTATATATAAAAATATAGTTCAAGATAACAACATAATTCACAAGAATTATCTTCTTTTCTAAAAATATGGTATATTATATAAATTCCTTTTATTTAAAAATAAATTATATACAAATATTAAAAATATGAAAAATAATTTTTTTGATGATTTATATTTAATTATGATTTAAATTTAATTATTAATAATATAATTTTTATATCTTAATTTTAAGTTTTATAATAGGAAAATATATTTTTAACATAACAACATAATACATAATAATTATCTTATCTTAGAAAATTAATAAATTATTAATATGAATTCGTTTTAGTTATATTTAAGTATTAAATTATTAATAGAAATTTGTTTTAGATAAATATTCTAGTTTTTATATCTTAATTTAAAATTTGATTTTTATATATAAAATATATTTCAAGATAACAACATAATTCATAAGAATTATCTTATTTTCTAAAAATATGATATATTCATATAAATTCGTTTTATTTTAAAATAAAATATATAAATATTTATAATATGATAGATAAACAAATTTACCTAAACTTATGGAGAACATGACAATTAAGCAAATTTACTTCTCAAATAATAGTATAGATTATATATTTGCTTAGTTAATATGATATTTTTTATAACTTAATATAATAAATACTGGTTAAAAATAACAATAACTTTTAAAATAAAATATAAAGGTTACTATCTAAAAATAATGATTTTAAATCAAAAAAATTAACGAAATAAAAAATTGAAAGATTCATAAAATAGTATAAATTTAACGTTTTATTTAATTTTAAATTTTAACTAATATTAAATATTAATAAGTATCTATAAATATATTTTAAATGGATTATACCTTTTCTGAGAATTTATTATCTACTTTATTAAAAATATGAAAAAATTAGCAAACATCCAATTCACTTCTTAAATAATAGTATACTAAGTGTTTTACCCGCACATGCGGGCATAATTTTCGTACAATTTATTATTAGTTTATAATTTATTAATTCAAACCAATACACTAAATTATGATTTATGTTTTAAAATTAATTATAAATGACAACACTCACATAACAAAATATTTTTAAAAATATATTTTTACAAATGTGTTGCTTTAATTTATTTTAATCATAATATTTTATATCTTAATTTTTTATTTCCATAATAAAATTATATTTTCAAGATAACAATATAATACATAAGAAGTATCTTATTTTCTTAAAATATATTTTAAAGATAACAATATAATACATAAGTTATCTTATTTTCTAAAAGTTTAATATTATTAATAAAAATTCGTTTTATTATATGATAAATTATTCATAAAATTATTAAAAATATAATAAATAAGCAAAATTACAAAATCATGGAGAAGTTATAAATCAATCAGTAAATTCATCTGAATTTTATAATAGAAAAGTATATTTTTAAGAAAACAATTTTATACAAAATAATTAACAAAATTTTAAAATATAATATTATTAATATAAATTCATTTTTATTAAATATTAAATTGTATATGAAATTATTCAAATAAGATAAATAAACAAATTTTCCTAAAATCAAGGAGAATCTACCTCCCAGAAAGTCTCATAGGCGTTCCAACAGCGATGTTACGTTTGCGATGATGTCTCTAGGTGTTTTGCCCGCATTTGCGGGCATAATTCTCTTATGAATATTTATTAGTTGATTTTTCATTAATTTAAAAATCAGCATAATAAGTTATTATTTATGTTTTCAAAAAGTAAAAATTAAACATCAAAAAATTATTAATAAAAAAACTCAAACTTCAGAAATATTTAAAAGAATATATTTCTATAATTATTTTGCTTGATTTATATCTAATTATAATATTTATACAATTTTTTTACTTAATTTATATTTAATTGTAATTTTTATATCTTAATTTTAATTTTATAATACAAAGCATATTTTAAAGATAACAATATAATGCATAAGTTATTTATTTTCTAAGAATATAATATGCTATTTTTTTAATTATATAAGATTTTAAAAATTATGACATATAATTAAAATTACCTAAAATCATGGAGAACTCAATGAATCAGCAAATTCACTTCTTAAATAATTTTTCTTGAGTGATAGTTTATATTTAATTAATAATAGATAATTTTTCTATTTTACTTTTAAATTATATAATATAAAAGTATATTTTCAAGGTAACAACATAATACATAAGAATAACTACAACTTTTTATATCTTAATTTTAAATATATAATACAAAAATATATTTTCAAGACAACAACTTAATATATAAGAAATA